TTCCCCGATGTGCAAGGCTATAGCCGAGGAAACCACAAAGAAAATAGAAGGAGACCCAGAGCTAAGCCCGCAATACAACAAAGGCATAAAACTATCACCACTTACGCTTTATGTAGATGACGGCTCACTGGCGGTGTCAGCCCCATCTAGAGCAGAAGCGACAAAGGTGATCCAGCTGGCGTTTGTTGCAGCACACAACTGGTTAAAGCAGAGAGGACTAAAGACCGACCAGGTGAAGAACGAACTTATGCACTTCACCAAAACCAAGACTGGCAGAAATGCAGGTCCAGGCCCATCAGTCACTATCCCCTCGAACGAAGAAGGCGCAACCAGAACAATCCACCCATCCAACCTTATGAGATACTTAGGTATCTGGTTCGACCCACACCTCAAGTTCACGGAGCACATAAAAAAGACAGCCGCGAAAGCTTCGGGCGCGGCACACGCACTAAGGATGTTAGGAAACTCCGAGAGAGGCATACACCAAACACATCTCCGCCAGATGTACATAGGTGCTGTACTCCCAATAGTCTTATACGGCCTACCCATCTTCTGGCGATCAAAGCGCGGCTTAATTCTCAGAACTTTATCTACTCTACAGAATAAATGTCTGAGAATGCTAACAGGCGCTTTCCACACGACCAGCATCACCGCGATGGAAATAGAGGCCTCCATTCCCCCCATCGACATTTATCTAGATTACAGAATGGAAATGGAGGCAACCAGACTCGCCCGCATCCCCGACGACCACCCGCTGATCAATAGACTCTACCCACACCAAAGAAGACTCACCACTCCAACTTCCCCCCCACCTCTCCCAGTCTTCGACCCACAGAAGAAATACAAGTCCGACCCACGAAAGCGCTTCTCAACCTGCATCACCCGCATCGCGCAACACATAATCCCGGGCACGGAAAGAATAAGGCCACTCCTTGAAAGCCCATGGGACACATCTGCACATGACATCACCGACCGAATCCAACTCTTCACCCCGCCAGACGACCCTGGAAACTCATTCAAACAGGAATGGGCTGACGACCACATGAACTTCGTTGCGGAATGTGAAGATGACCCAAACACACTCCTCGTCTACTCAGATGGATCCCGATACAAAGATGATGGCAGAATCAAAACTGGCTTTGGCGCAGTAGGATACTCACATGGCAAAGTTGTCTTCGAAGAGAAAGGAGCAATGGGCGAACATGTTGAAGCCTACGACGCAGAGATGATGGGCCTGAAAACAGCCGCGGATGGAATCAGACGCACCCTAGATGACGGTAACGTCACCACAAAACCCACCCGCATCGTCATATACGCAGATAATACTAGCGCACTAAAACGCGTCTTTCAGGGTAAACCTCGCAAGGCCCAGGAACTAGCCAGGGACTTCAGGAATACCATATGCAAAGTCCTAACAGACTCTGAGGAGACGAAAATCGCATTGCACTGGTGCCCAGGCCATCTTGGAATTCCGGGGAACGAGAGAGCCGACCAGCTAGCAAAAGAAGGCGCACGACTCAGACCAGCCCGACCCAATTTTAAATCACTCTCGTACATAGAGAGCCTGCGCAGGAGAGAGATGGCCGAAACATGGACTCACCGATGGACGAACACACCGAACCCCCCGAGATCGGGCTTCTACGCAGCGAACCAACTCGCACCGAAGCTCAGACCCACCAAACGGTTCAGAAAACTCGACAGAAAAACCTTCAGCCGCGTAATCCAGTTCCGAACAGGACATGCTCACATCGGCGAGTACTACCACCGATTCGGAATCACAACGGAGAATAGAGCATGTCAATGCGGTAAATCAACACAAACGAGGGCCCACATTCTGACGGAGTGCCCCCGGACAAGTAGACACAGATACCTACTAGGTCGCGGAAACCAGACGAAATTCCACATCCTCATGGGCAAGATGAAAGGCATAGAAAGGCTTGCCAATTTCATCAAAAAGTCCAAGACAGGCGACAAACCGACGACAACAAACACACCGCGAGGACCGCCATCGCCCGACCGACTCACAGGATAGACGAAGCAGAACAGGACTTGCAGGGGACAGACGGAACCTCTTCATTTTTTCCATTTCTTATTTTTATTTTTTTTATCACCACGACAATACCTATGGACATCACAGAACCCGAGGATCATTGACACCCGAATACACCACCCAGAATACCACCATGTATAGATATTCCCCCCATGTACGCTCCGGTGTTAGGACGGGATAGCCGCACTGCCACGTCATCACGAGGCCGCGGGGTATTAAGATAGATTTATCATCATCATCATCACCCAGTCAGTCTTGTCTGAATTGACCTCCACCAGTCCCTTTCTCTCAACGAATCTCTGGATATCCATCTGACGCCAACCCATTCTTAGCGATGGGCTTGCTCCTTAACTCCCGCTATGCAACAAAGAGCGAAGAATCTGCTGGATGACTTTATTGCCACGGCACGCGAACCTTAGGCAGGTTACCTGCCTCTATTAGTATATGCGAACCTCTCAGCCACATCTTCCAGAGGGAGCCACGAAGATGAGACAAACCACCGCTGAAAGCGTGAAGGAATTCATGTCAGCAGCTGAGCAACGCGCTGGCACACGCGTCGTCCGCGGCTTCGATCAATAGCATCAGCTCAGAAATATGACAACGAATCATGAATGTCTAGATCATAGAGTCTTGGCCTCGTGTCCCATCTAATCCAACGAAACGCTTCTCGATCCCAATTTCAAATTGCTCCAAGTCGCGATCGCGCAAACTTTTTCACGGTTCATTAGCATTTGTACAGCAGGCTGAGCATGCTGCTCACACTGGCCACCATGACTGTGGTCAGTCTTCCTTGTCATACCTGATGGGACCCATTCCCAAACGATGACCTCCCACGTTCCCAAGTCCTCGATCTCTGGGAAGCCCTAAGTGACTCTCCCATCAGTGCGGTCCTGTGATCCGCTAACTCCTACTTGGCTGGTCGATATACCCAACGATCAACTCGAATTGTCGAAAGTGGTACCATTCTCGGACGAACCATTTCAATCTGTGGGCAAGGGAGTTGTTCAAGACGAAAAAACTTGGGGAGAAATTTTGATTCAGATGTGGGAGTTGTGCTTTGGTCAGTGAGAATGTGGTGCAGTTCCAAGATTTATGGATTTGCACAATATTATTCCGTTTCTTATCTTTGGGTTACTGCAAGCAGTGAGTTTTAGTCGCATTATTCGTCTTTTCGCATCCTGATGAGCGTTCGTTTTTTTTTCCGAACTTATCCAGCTGACTTGTGATGATCGCTTTCCTCCAGCACACTTATCCTCTCCTTCACTACTGCCCTGGCGCATTCACCTTCCCCTGCGGAGCCCTCCCCACCTTTGACCGCCGCTTCATGTTGGGTGATGGACCGGGTTCATACGTGGTGAGGGTCATCAACCAAGAGTGCAGGTTCGTGGAGGATGATGGGGATGTGGTAGTTTATATGGATGCGGAAGGGTTTGCGCAGAGGGTTTAAGGAACAGAGTGCTTCTGATTCAGGGATTGACATCGTTGAGTTCTTGCGGAATGCGCTTGCTCGGTGTCTCCTGTGATCATTGGTTTTGCATCTATCCCCACTGCTTCTTATGAATTCGTTTACACCTCTCTGTCCGCCCTCCAATCCTTTCTACCAGGCACAGCGAATTCGGCAAGGACTCTTTTCTTTCCGAACAACCGTACCTGTCTCTTGGATGTAGAAATGTTAAGCCTAATGTTCGTGGCTGGCGGGTTATGAGTTCTCTCTCTGCTTTCAGGTCTTTCCTTACATAATTCTAATTGCTTCATTCCCTATGATGACTGGTCTACCTCGCGTGCACAAGTTACCTCCACATCATTTCTTTTACACTACTCACCGTTCAACGTCACGGATTCTTCTCCCTTACTCATGGCCAGGCCGCACACACATGTATCAACAGACAGTGTTCAGATCATCCTGTCTCATTCATTTGATTCCTATGATTCCTAGTTCCGTCCTACATTCGGGTGAGGTGCCATGTGGGCGATGGGATTTCATTTTGATCTATTCTCGCCGGAAAGACTAGGTCGCCAACGTAGGGGAGAGAGGGAACGGACGCGGATATCTGGAGTTGTGTGAGGGCGAGGGTGGGCACGGGCAGGGGTGAGAGAACTGGGTCTAGATTGAGTTGATTAGATGGAGCTGGGGATCGCCTTACATAAGATTTGAGAATTGAGGTGAGGAAAAGCACGAAAGTGGATGTGGCACCCTGTCAAGGATTCGAAGCTTACCGATGAGCGCATATTTAACTTGGATAGTAGACGCGAGGTAGTCGCCCTAGCCCTGACCCTCATATACCGTCCCCTATTTCTTTCGCCTGTATGCGGATCTTGGCCCTCGCTCTTCATTCCCATCCTCCTGGTAACGGCAATTGAACTCATACTCGCGATACTATTCTCACTCTTTCCCACTCCCGAACGCTCCCTTTCTTGATTTTATTCGCTGTTGGGTAATCAAACCGGTGGGCCACAGACAAGTGGAGCAGGGCTGGCCCCACAATTAAGCGGCACTATAACAGCCAGCCAAATGAGGCGCCGTGGGACGCCTACGGAACGCCAGTGGTGTGCTGGACCTTGAATAGTTTCAGGGCGCTGTCTAGGGATCGGCGCTTGATCAAAAGAAGAGAAGGGTCGTAGAGAACCATTTTAACGGTAGCTGGAACATGATAAGAAGACGTTATGAAGCGCAGGCGGGATTGTGGCCCCTGCCGAAGGTTGTGTGGCCACAACCGGCGCTTACCGCCAACCCTCAGTACGAAGCGACGCCGCGACTGATGCCTCAGTATGATGTTCCATAGATGTCCTTGCGAGTTCATGTTGAATTCGCGCATCCTCAAACACTTATGCCACTTGCAGTTCTTCTCTCTCAGGATACAGGACTTGATCAAGACTTGATGTCATCATCCGTCCCACTTGCCCATGCCAACCGCGCTTGTTAGAATTCGCCGCTGATATCGGATCAGATCGAGGGATTATGTCGGCCAAAAGTATTCATTATGCCCTTCCATAATTAGACGGGGGCCTCGTGGCTCTGACCTCACACGTGTGTTTGACGCCCGAAGCTCTCCCTCTCCTCCATCCACTTGTCCACTATCGAACATGTCGGCGCAGCAAGGGGCCGAAGCTCTCAGGCATAAGATCGACGATCTGCTCGTGCAGGGGGTTGACATAGCGGTCCCGATTCTCAAGGTCGTCAATGCTACGGCTGATTGGTGTCCCCCTCTCAAGATGGCCACTGGCGGTGCACTCTCCATCCTCGACGAGGTTCAGGTTGGCAACGATTTACGCTTTGCTATGAATGGAAGCTCACACTAGTTTGGGAAACGTAGAAGTTCAGAGACAACAAGAAGGAATGGGCTGATTTCGGTCAATACGTAGCCGACACCGTGGTCGAGGTGATTTTGGTCATAAAATCTTACGATGCGTCAACGGAAGAAGCAAACCCGTGGATGGAAAGTGCCACAAAGCTCAAAAAGTAAGCTGCATTTGTTTCTGGTGGTCTTTGCTATCGTTATGAACATCAAGTCCCAGCGCTCTACAGGTGATTGAGTCCGGAATCAGAGGAAGACGGGAGAAAGTAGAGACACGACCGGCCTTAATAAATGCAGTTTCGTACTTGCGAGACCCAGGAAGGATTAATAGCCTCAAGAAAGATTTTGACAAAGCATTGGCATCGTTTCAGGTAGCTTTCCTTATAGTATCATTCCATAATCATTCTGAATTTCGGTCGATGCAGCTTCGGACGAACTTGGTGACTGGCGCCAAATTAGCGGCCATAGAACGTCGTCAACAGGATGCAGAACGTCGCCAACAGGAAGATAAAATTCTCGAGAGCCTCCGATACCCTCATATCGCCCTTGGTGATTCCGCTCAGGCATGCCTAGAAGGCACTAGGGTTGATCTTGCTGAGCGTATCATGACATGGTGTCGCAACACTGGGGAGAGTGAGAATCGGCTGATGCTACTGACTGCTGTGGCCGGTGCCGGAAAGACTTCAATTGCGCTCACGATAGCAGAGCGATGTGCGAACGAAGGGAACGTTACTCTGTTACTGCACTTCTTCTTCAAAGCGGGTGAACGGGCGCGGCCCGATTTTCTATTCACCGGCATAGCCCGAGCCCTAGCAGACCATGACCCAATTTACCGCGGTTCCATTACCTCTGCTCTTAGAAAAGATCCTTCTCTCTTGACAGCCCCACTTGCGAAGCAATTCGAGAACTTGGTGGCTTTGCCTCTCCTCCATACACCTCCGCCTTCCGGTCATTCTATGGTTGTCATTATTGATGCTTTGGACGAGTGTGACAAAACCGTGTTTTTACCCCTTGCCGAAATCCTTAGGGAGGAGGTGCCCAGGCTACCATCTTCGATAAAATTCTTCATCACATCGAGACAATTTGATCTCGTGAATCGTTTCCTCTCCCCCAATTACCCTATCAATCGACTCACTATTGATCTCTCGGATGAGACAAACGTGCAGGACTGTGCTACATACATCAGTTTCCAGCTTCAAAAGCTGAAGAAATCGCATCCGGAGTTGCGCGATAATCTTCAGGACGAGGACAAAAAAGTTCGGGAGATCTTGGAACGAGCAAATGGCTTGTTTATTTGGGTCAGCACAATCTTCCTCTACATGGAGACGAACAGCAACGATCCAATGAGGACACTGGGGCGCCTGCTCGACACTGGCACCAAACGTTCAAAGGTCCCTGCCGAGGGAATGATGGATCATTTATACACAACGATTCTGAAAAGGTGTAATTGGGAAGATGAAGATTTTGTGCACGACTACCCAATCGTGATGGGAGCGATCGTTGTTGCACAGCAACCTCTGTCGGTCACTGCCTGGGATGTGATTTTGTCACCTTCCCTCAATTCTTCTGTCCGTTATGCATTGGCTGAACTCGCCCCTCTCCTCTTGGGGGTTGAGGATCCTTACATCCCGATTCGCATCTTACACCATTCATTCCGCGACTTCATTGTGGATCGGATTGATCTCTGGTCCATTGGCCCTGGTTGCAGTCCAGTAGATTTGAGGATAGAGAATGCCAGGATTGCCTTGCGATGCACCGAGATTCTGAACCAGGATCTTTGCTCTATAGAGGGCTTAGGACTGATTGAAGACTTGTCTGGAAGAGATGAAATGCCGGGTATTCCTCCAAAGGAATTATCCGAACACTTTCGTTATGCATGCCGTCATATTGTCCATCACCTTAGTGGAGTCCAGGAACCATCAGAAGAGCTCAATCGGTCAGTTGGCATGTTTCTCAGTCAGCAAGCAACTCGCTGGGTGGAAGTCTGTGTGAGAATGGAAGGCTACATCAATATCTCATTACTCCCTGAGTGGGTCAAGGTATGGATTGTCGATCGTGTTAATGAAACGGCCTCATGATCTTCCAGTTGTCTGTTGACCACAGCTCAAAAGATACTGTCGGCACACTGGCTAATGTGCTTGCCCAGCTTTCAAGGAATTTGGTATTCTTGTCAAGATTTCAGGAGGCGCATGAGGCAGCAAGTGATTCTGTTGCACTCTGCCGTTACCTTTTTTCTGTAGACTCAATGTCCTACACCCCGCATTTGTCCCTGTCACTCAACAATCTATATTTGGCTCTGTCTACACTTGGACGGCACTTGGAGGCACTCCCATTCATTGAAGAAAGCGTCAAACTCCGGCGTGAGCTAGTTGCCATTCACCCAGGATCATACACCCCGGATCTGGCCATCTCACTCGACGATCTCCGTGGTGCTCTCGCCAGACTCGGACGGCACTCGGAGGCGCTCCCATTCATCGAGGAAAGCGTCAAACTCCGGCGTGAGCTAGTTGCCATTCACCCAGGATCATACACCCCAAATTTGGCCAGATCACTCAACAATCTATATTCGGCTCTTTCCAATCTCGGACGGCACTCGGAGGCGCTCCCGTCCATCGAACAAAGCGTCAAACTATACCGTGAGCTGGTTGCCACTCACCCAGGATCATACACCCCGGATTTGGCCATCTCACTTGACAATCTCCGTGATGCTCTCGCCAGACTCGGACGGCACTCGGAGGCGCTCCCATTCATCGAAGAAAGCGTCAAACTATACCGTGAGCTGGTCGCTGTTCACCCAGGATCATACACCCCAGATTTGGTCCTCTCACTCAACAATCTATATTCGGCTCTTTCCAATCTCGGACGGCACTCGGAGGCGCTCCCATTCATCGAACAAAGCGTCAAACTCCGGCGCGAGCTAGTTGCCATTCACCCAGGATCATACACCCCAGATCTGGCCATCTCACTCAGCAATCTATATTTGGCTCTTTCCAATCTCGGACGGCACTCGGAGGCGCTCCCATTCATTGAAGAAAGCATCAAACTCTGGCGTGAGCTAGTTGCTGTTCACCCAGGATCATACACCCCGGATTTGGCCATCTCACTTGACAATCTCCGTGGTGCTCTCGCCAGACTCGGACGGCACTCGGAGGCGCTCCCATTTATTGAAGAAAGCGTCAAACTCCGGCGCGAGCTAGTTGCTGTTCACCCAGGATCATACACCCCGGATTTGGCCATCTCACTCAACAATCTATATAACGCTCTTTCCAATCTTGGGCGACACTCGGAGGCGCTCTCATTCATTGAAGAAAGCGTCAAACTCCGGCGCGAGCTAGTTGCTGTTCACCCAGGATCATACACCCCGAATCTGGCCATCTCACTCGACAACCTCCATGATGCTCTCGCCAAACTCGGACGGCACTCGGAGGCACTCCCATTCATCGAAGAAAGCGTCAAACTCTACCATGAGCTGGTTGCTGCTCACCCAGGATCATACACCCCGGATTTGGCCATCTCACTCAACAATCTATATTTGGCTCTTTCCAATCTTGGACGACACTCGGAGGCGCTCCCATTCATCGAAGAAAGCGTCAAACTCCGGCGCAAGCTAGTTGCCATTCACCCAGGATCATACACCCCGGATTTGGCCAGATCACTCGGCAATCTAAATTTGGCTCTTTCCAATCTCGGACGGCACTCGGAGGCACTCCCATTCATTGAAGAAAGCATCAAACTATGCCGTGAGCTAGTGGCTGTTCACCCAGGATCGTACACCCCGGATTTGGCCAGATCACTCAACAATCTATATTTGGCTTTTTCCAATCTCGGACGGCATTCGGAGGCGCTCCCATTCATCGAAGAAAGTGTCAAGATCCAATGCCAGCTGGTTGAAATCAACCCAGGAGCATATGCCCCGGGATTGGCCCGTTCACTCAGAAATCTACGTCAAGCTCTTTCCAATCTTGGACGTCATTCCGAGGCACAAATGGTCCACATTTGAGCAACCCAAGTCCGGTGGTCCTCATTTCCCCTTGTCATTGTGTTTGCCACTTTGCCACCTGCTCATGGAGAACAAGTACTAACAAGTCCAGCCTCAATTTTTTTTATTAGATATTATTGATAGAATAGTTGCTGGCACTATGCCCATAACAAATCACAGTTGCAACTTATAATCTCAATATGAAGGTTACTCATTTCTCTTATATGTACTGGTCCAACGTTTCTGTATACCATCGTGACTAATGATGTCAAAGTTTGATGGATCCTGAACGTCGATGCAATGGAAAGACCTAATCGACAGGTCCACATTGTCCGATGTATTGGTGTGGAGGTCGAAAACTGGTGAAGCATCACTGTAAGAGACACAACAAGGTGGGCAACGGCCACAAAGGGCCCATGTGAAATTTGCCGCATGCGCGCGACGCGTGACCCGTGTCCTTTCAATCCAACGATGGTGGAGGTGAGGGCGGATGGTGGTGGAGGAGATGATGATGAAGCGCGTGCATGAAAATCGAGTGAAGGCAGGTGGCCAGTTGATCAGAAGGCAGCGCCATCGAAGGCTGATACTCCCGTGAGAGTACCTTGGATTAAGATTGGGTTTTGCCGCACATAGATCAAGAAAGCATCCGAAGACCAGCACCCAATGGCTTGGATGCGAGTCAATGGAGTTCCGGCCAGTGCCAACGCAGTGGCCCCACCCGATCGCAGCGAATGGCCACTAACATTGTTGTTAGGAAAGATCGATTGAAGGCACGATATGAACCAAGAACATGTTGGCACTGTTCCTTTGCTCGTCAGCCAAAGCTCAGGTAGGTGAGGAAACCGCTGATCGCGCGAAACCAAATACTTAGCGAACACCACTAACAGGTCCAATCAATTTCTACGGCTTTCCAACACGATCTGAGACCCTTCAAACAGACGATCCGCTTTGTGCATTGGTAACGTGAATGAGATGTGCGGGCGCGGGAGTTTGTTAAAATGAACACTGCGATGGGAAATGGTTTTTCAAAAATTGCGCAGCATGGAGGAATCGGGATCCACCAATTCTCCTAACCTCATCAAGCAATGCCAGCCCGTGAACACCATCGTGAGGAACAATATGTCGTCATGAGAAGGAGGGGTGGGCAAGCTACTTTGGATGCTAATGAGGTCCTCTTCTGTGAGGGCCCTCTTCCGCCTGGTGGGTGTGTTGTGCAGTTTCATGCATCCGTTGAGGCAACGCGTGATAAAAGGTGAGTTTCTGATTGTTCGAACCTCAGGCCAGGAACCTTCCAACTCTGCACAAATGCCTGAAAGGTAAGACTTTACCGATGAAGGCTGGATATAATGGCACATATAGACAATGAAGAAACTCAGCATGTTTTCAGTGGGCTTTATCGGAAATTCGTGGGTGTTGCAAAAAATGACATAAGACATGAAAGCAGAAGAGTAAGCCTTGCGAGTACTCCGTTCAAGGGAGGCACCTAAAGCATGAGCACGCTCTCCCATCAGACGCTCCATCGACCATCTCTCATGGACAGGATGTGTGGTCGAGGAGCTCCCCTGGGAATTCATACCTTGACTGCCCCTGACATGTCCAGCAGGGGTGTGAAGTGTTTAATTAAGAGTCCAGGCATATGCAAACGTGCGATGGTGAAGGCCCGTCGTGAGAGTGCATCGGCAATGACGTTTTTCTTTCCGTCAATATGGAAGATGTGCAAGTCGATCTTTGACTCCAAGCGAATTTTGACCGCTGCCATAATGATCAGGTTGTACACTTCCAAGGCATGCAAAGTGTTGAAAATTGCGAAAGATGTGGTAGAATCAGTTAACGGAATAACCGCTTGCTCTAGTAGTAAAGCTCAGTCTCACTATATGCGCGAGAACTGAGGGAAAAGGAAACTAATTCAAAAGATTGAATATAGTTTGTGGTCTTTGCGGATAAGTCCGAAGTGACCAAAATAAGTAAGAAGCAAAAGGTGTTGTGACCAAATAGTCACGCTACCGCGGGAATGTGGCTGTCCGGGCAAGTTCCTCGCTCGGATGTAGGAATGTGGCTGTACGGAAAACTCGTCCGGCCTCCCATAGCACACGGTTCCTCCAACATCAGTGTGAATTGCCAGGCATTTTGGAGGGGGGTTAAGGGAGGCCGCCCATTCTAGAGCAGCAAGCACAGTGACCGCTTCGTTGAAGAAGATGTTGAATGTTCGCTCTTGATCAACAATGGGATCAGCAATATAGGCAGTTTTGTGGGCAGGGGAAAAGAAAGCCAAACCCATTGCCAAAGCGTCCCCCCAAATCTGGAAGTCCGCATCTTCAGCACCCCACTCCTCAGTGTCCAACATTCGGACCCCCTCCAGAGATTCCACCTGATCTGCAAACCAAAGTAAGTCGTTCCTTGCGAGCTTGTTAATATAAATCAGTGCGCTCATAAATTTCCTGCCCGCGACCTTGTTATATGAGGAGTTCAGCACTGGTTTGAGGAGTGGGAAAACATTGAGGGCCCAGTTCGCATATCCAAGGATTTGCAGCCAAGATCGGAGGGATTGTTGCCGCGGGGTAGGAGGTGTTGGAATTTGCACGTGGTCTTTTAGGGAAACCTAAAAGTTGGACATACTGGGAATCGAACTCCAGTCTTCTGGATCGCGAACTCAGTGTGCACAGCCATTACACTATACGCCCTGATAGGCTGAGGTGGTTATTTCAACAGGAGGATTGTTGACAAAGTCGCGAATTGCTGTCACCAGACTTGCCTTTGCGTCTTTTGGCATCCGAATGGTCATTGCTGGTAGATCAACTTCAAAACCAATGATTTCCAAGACTTCGCCATACTGTTGCTTATGGTCCTCATGAGGAACTCCGATGATGTCCAAAAGTCGGAGGAACTCGGCCTGAGGTGTAGGTATATGTTAGACACTGATCCGGGGTCGGCACCGAAGGTCGCCTATGCGGGCCGCTATAGGCCGCGATGGCCGTGATGCTGCGAACAAGGCCCGGGGGTAGGGCATTTGGCCTCAGCAACTCTAAAGGGAGTGCTGTGCCCCCTAGCTGTCTCTTGGCCCTCATTTCGGACTCACTGGGGTTGCCTTGTTGGGGTCAGGACTTAGGGGTCGTGGTCACATTGATATTAGAGCTAAGGTACAATAAAGTATCATACAGGATATATATAGGAGGAAGGAATGAATGGAAGCGGACCCGGGCCGAAGGCCAAAGGGTCCGGAAGCAAACAAGAATAAGGAGCGGGGTTGGCTGCATAGTGGCCGGCAATGACCGAGGGTCAAAACAAACAATAACAGATAAATAAAGGAAAGAGTGTAGGGCCGCGATAGCGGTGATGGTATCATAGCGGCGCTGGACTCGGAGTTGGGCCGGAGTCAGGCGCGGGGATGATAGCGGCCCTGTAGGGGCCAAGTGGGCAGGGTAGGGGAGTCGCGCTGGGCACGGTGCTGGAGGCGGACTCGGGTGGGGAGGTTGGTGCAGCAGCAGGGGAGTCGGCCAAGTGTAGGGGAGCCTAGGGGCAAGCAGGGAAGTGAGCAGGGAGTCCTCAGGGAGGATAGGGATGAGGTTGGGGCTCACGCTCACGCTCGCATAGCGGTAACGGGCTTGGGCGGTGAAAGGTTATCTTACTAGTTTGGGGATGGTAATGTTCCGTTCTGTCAGGGATCGGCCCCTGACCCCGCTGTCAGGGCACCCAACCACACCCCAGAACCACCTTCCCAGACTTCCCCCACTTCCCAGACCTCCCCATCCCTACATACCTCTCACAACTTCAGCCCGCATGTGAGCCTGCGGGAAAAATCACGTGGGTCAAGGTGAGCAACTCGCCTTAACCCATGTGACACCTTTTCCGAGTCGCGGGAACATGCTCGGCTTCTACCCGGAGTCACGTTATGAACTGTACAGTACACTTCCTTTTTATAGTAGCCAAGCAGGGAATAGGGAAACTTACCCTTCTTCTCAACTCAATCCCCGCTTAGGCAAGTTGTAGTTACCCTCTGTAATACATGACAACTCAATCCCCGCTTAGTCCCTTCAGTGAGTTTGAGGAGCTGAGGACAGGGTCTAGCACTGTAGGAGAAATAACGGCCACACTATGGAAACCCATTATGGAAATATGCCAGATAAATCACAAAAACCTCATACGACAAGTAGATATGAGAAAATAGAAGGACCTGAATTTTAACGAATTTTACGAATTTTTACGAATTATTATGACTATACACGATAAATCGAAAGAAAGAAAAATAGCAAAAATACTTCAAGCTTACTATCAACGAGACGGAATTCTCGGGGGAATTTATAGCAAATATTAAACCAAGAATTAGGACAATCGACCAAGATTTGACTATAAAAATAATCAGAGAACCTCCACGGAAACTACTTTCCCACGTCCGAACACGTAGCCAAGGATGGAAGTACCATGGAACGAAGATTCCTCAGGAACTAATGCAAAAGTCAGAGTCGTGTTTACAATAGGAAATGTAGATGTCTTCCAAACGGAACCAATGAGAGTAATTACAGGGGAAACTACCTATAAACGATGGAGATATGACTAAAACTCCTGCAAAACGAGGACAATGCCTAAAAGGGAAGCGCGAAGATTAACCAGTAACGACCGAGACAAGCTTGATAGCCCATTAGAAAGGAAGGGATCCAATCTTAATCCTCCCAAATTTTCATAATAAAAGGATCATGCGTTAATGAGATATCCAATAACGGGAATAGTGACATCGAAAGTCCGAGCTTAGGGAAAAGACGATGTTTGCGTAGGATCCATAGTTAAAACATACAACTAAATTTACACGGAAATTATTAAAAATGGGGAACTATAGTTATGCAAATTTTCAGCCCAAACAGTCCAGCCGTTGTGAAGTTATACCCATGATGGGAATATAGAAATCCGCATCATGTGTAATGACACGTGAGGGTGGCGATGCGCAGGGAACCGGCCATCGGAACCGAGATCCGCACTTCGGCAGATCGCGAAGACCAATTTCCGTCCAAATAAGGAAGAGCCCGGTCAAAACAAAGCATGGAAAGTGCAAAACAACCTTAAATCATGAGGGAAAAATCTGAAATAAATCACAGAAGCCCATATGAAAGAAATAAACACCCACGCATATCATAAATCCCGAACAATTAAACAGAAATGGCGCCTGCATACGAACGACTATGGGAATGACGCATGTGATTACCGAATGTGCGCGCGAACTTTTGCTAACTCAACGAATACCAGGAAATAGGACACAACCTTGGTACCATTGGAAAGGTGGGAATAAATGAAAATTTAAGATACCAAGAACGTGAGAAAACATCCAGAAATGAATGAGATATAGGGACATGAAGTTAGAAACCTGAAAACGCGCGGGAAAACAGCTTCAAGAGGTCCAGAGTCCTAAATAAAATACATAAAAATATGAAATCTTCAAGGACGACCTACTATAACAACGAACAATACATATGGAGGATTAGGATGTGATAATACAAAAGGGAATCAGGGAATATGAACGAAATTCACGAAAACCACTAAACTACGACGGACCATGGCGGGAATTTTAGGGAACGATATTCTAATGAGGAGGAGAGCTATAACACATTCGTTTGAGTAATTCTTGATTACTAGCAACTTTTTCTTTCAGTTTTAAACCTGAATAATTCACTCATTTACCATTTCAGTCTCATTTTAACTAAATGTCACTAAATAAAAATGGAATAAATCAGCTGAAGGTCTCAGCATAGCCGTACGCATAGTAATGCGAAGTTCGAATTCAGGATCATCGAGTCATAGCAAATTTAACGGTATATAGGGAATTTGAAATAGGTAACTGCGGCAAATGCAGCGCAGCCAAGTTCCAATTAACCATTAAAATAGCTTAGGCGAGGGAGGACAATAAGAATTCTAGGCGCAGTCTGACCGCAGTAGAACCGCAGTTCAGCACAGCAAAAGCGCAGTAGAACTATAGCATGAAAATTTCATTTTTATTCAGTTTGAGAAAAATACACTGTAAATAAATCCTGTAAATAGAAGGTAGAGTGTGAAAAAGGAAGGCGACCCAAGGAGTATAAAAGGGAGACCCTTTCTGCGACTTTTCGCCCCCCTTAGAGAAGTAAGAAAATAGAGTATTATTTTTCTCAAGCATTTCTGGTTGTCACTCCAGTGCGAAAAAGTGATATACAGTTAAGATTGCCACTGTAGTAAAAGGCAGCAATAAAGGAGAGAAATATTAAGTAGATATTTCAACAGGAGAGCTGGTTAACACTCCAGATTTCAAAGTGTAAACACAAAACAGTTATTTTGCTACTGTTAAAACAAGCAATAAAATAAGACAAAAATAGAACAAACTCAAGGGACACTCCAGACACAATCCAAATTCATTAACTGAATAAAATCTTTGAAACTTCACTAAGTAGAAGATTAAATTCAAGTTTAAATCCAAATTAAACAACGCTACACAGAATTACACCTAGACAAATTAATAAATTTCAATAAAGAAACAGCTCCGCAGGGCTCGGTTTATCTGTAAGTCAATTCCCAGGAACTTTAAAACTAACCCATAAAAATAGAATTAGCCAAAACACTCGGATTGGTACTATATTTACAATAAATAACACTAGTACACTTCCCCATCCTAACTAAAGAACCAGGGAACAGCTTGGTGGTGGTCTCGTTTGAACCTCCCAACTGACCTTCCTTCGTTCTCTCCTTCAGCGCCCAACCACCCGGAACACCGCACACACCTAGGACTGAGGTCGGGCTGTCCCTGATCGAGGACCGAGCCCTGACACGTTCCCCCGTTTGCCTCAGGCCTCAGTAGTCCATCTAAGTATACGCTTGATTTGGCTGTATATTGATGGGGTAGAAGTAAAGGCTAATCCGCCTTTTACAGCTACCCCGAGGGTTTATATACAATCTTATACATTCTCGGCACAAATAAATAGAGAAGCTTCCGCGACGCTAAATTAGCATCGCGACATAATTATTACACAACACAACATCAACTGATGTTGTGGGCGGAATATAGACATGGGCTGGGGCCTCACATCCTCCTCCCTTGCGATACTAGATCGCAGACAGGGTACTAGCATATATACACAAGGGGAAAGCAAGCATTTTAAAGAAATAAAATTTTTTAACGTTCTACATACGAAGGATGTATGCAAACGGGGGCACACTCATTGCAGGAGGCTATAATAGTATTTTGTAGGCGAAGCCCACTTAGAGTTTCTCCTGGAACATATGCACCCAGATCTCGACGACAGTGCTGTTGACAATGGAACGACTTTCTCGTCGTTGTGAGTTTATTAAATACCATCGTCCACTGTGATGATGTTGACAGTGTAGGTCGTCGACAGCAGAGTTGTCGCTGACGAAGAAAATGAATAATCAACGACGTTTGCGTTGACAAAGGACGAAGGGTACAGAATAGACAATCAACAACAGCATTGTCGTTGATGAAGGTAAGAAATTATTAATCAACGACGGCCTTGTCGTTGACGAAAGTGAGTAATCAACGACGGCATTGTCGTTGACGAAGGTGTCATATCCATCCCCGGCCATCGACTTCCGGACCCTCCGATCCCTCCGATCCAACTCCGCTCCTCCCTCACTAACCTCGGAGCCCCCGTTATTCCGCAATCCTCTCGGTACCCCTCGATGGTCACCACCCCCTCATTTCAATTTATTACCTACGCCTCCCTAAGTACGGAGCCCCAAAGACTTCCGGACAGCTCCGACGTCCGCTAGCGCACCCCCGCCTCCGCTGGGCAATACACTCGCCTGCCCTGCAGAGTCCACCTTCGGGCTTATCCCTCCTTTCCGTTTCTGGGTTATCGCCTGCCTTTCCGCTAACCCCGCGAACCGACTCGTCGGTAATATTCAGTCGGCTAATGGTTAAACCCTGTTAGC